TGCCCAAAAGGAAGGCCTCTGGTTTCTTAGGGAAGGTATATTTAAATACCTTTTTCAATTCATTATAGATCATTTACCAGAAAGCCGTGAATTTCACACCAGTGGTCCATAACCGTTCCCAGTCAGCAAACATAATATTATGACCAATGTCTTGCGCTCACTTAATCATAGCTGATTTGACCGTTTCATCCTGAGTGTTCCATTTTAACAGCAAGTTGTACATTCTTGAAAGTACCTTAGTTTTAGGTTCTAACAATTCTGTTTCTAATTTCGATTTTTCCACCTGGAAGCCTATTTTTTTATCCATATTAAAAACCTCTCTAATTTGATAATAATGTAGCCAATCTCGCACTTTATCTTTTAGTTTCTCAAAACTCTGCAATCTCAATGTGTCTCCGTTTTGTTCTAATATCTCCCAATATTTCGGCCACTTGGCCTCCATATTGAGTCTTTTCAGAGCCTTAGCTTCCATGGGTGACAACCACCTTGGGGTCTTGTTTTCCAGCCTGTCTTTGCATGCAGAGGAAGTCTCTAACTCACCGAGGGTTTGAGACCCATCGGCTGCCCTCACTTGGTCCATGCCGTTTCCCAGGATTGTGGCCGCTGTCGCATGCTGACAGCTTCTCGCGAGCCACAGGTGAGAGCTGAGTGTACAGTGGGGACCAAAAGCAGGGACAAACTACCCCAGAAGGAGCACAACGTGTCCCCCACCAGAGGTACTACCTCTCCCATAACATCCCGTGCACCCCAATGGGAGTATAGGAGCAGAATCGGATGGGATACCCCCATTATGCACAACTAAGGGGCAACAGGAGAGCTCTACCTCTCCTTTAAATCAGAACCAGTGAAGGCGGTGAAGGTCCTGTGTGAGTGCCTGGAGGCGGTTGGAGGATGGATGGCGGCCAACAGATTGAGGTTGAATCCTGACAAGACAGAAGTACTGTTTTGGGGGGACAGGGAGCAGGCAGGTGTGGGAGATTCCCTGGTCCTGAATGAGGTAACTGTACCCCTGAAGAACCCGGTGCACAGCCTGGGAGTCATTCTGGACTCACAGCTGTCCATGGAGGCACAGGTCAATTCTGTGTCCAGGGCAGCTGTTTACCAGCTCCACCTGGTACGCAGACTGAGACCCTACCTGCCCACAGACTGTCTCGCCAGAGTGGTGCATGCTCTGGTTATCTCCCGCTTGGACTACTGCAATGTGCTCTATGTGGGGCTACCTTTGAAGGTGACCTGGAAACTGTAATTAATCCAGAATGCGGCAGCTAGACTGATGATTGGGAGTGGCCGCCGGGACCACATAACACTGCTCCTGAGAGATCTGCATTGGCTTCCAGTACATTTCCGAGCACAATTCAAAGTGTTGGTGCTGACCTTTAAAGCCCTAAACGGCCTCGGTCCTGTATACCTGAAGGAGCGTCTCCACCCCCATCGTTCTGCCCGGACACTGAGATCCAGCGCCGAGGGCCTTCTGGCGGTTCCCTCATTGCGAGAAGTGAGGTTACAGGGAACCAGACAGAGGGCCTTCTCAGTAGTGGCGCCCACCCTGTGGAACGCTCTCCCTTCAGACGTTAAGGAAATAAGCAGCTATCTTATCTATAAAAGACATCTGAAGGCAGCCCTGTAAAGGAAAGTTATTAATATTTAATGCTGTGTTGTTTTTAACACTCGATTGGGAGCCGCCCAGAGTGGCTGGGGAAACTCAGCTAGATGGGCGGGGTATAAATAATATATTATCATCATCATCATCATCATCATCATCATCATCATCAATTTACCTTAATATTCAAGGTGCCACAAAACTTTTTTGTGGTTCCGGGCCACAGCTCAGCAGTAGTGTGTGTGCGTGCTGCATATATATATGGGGTGGAGAACCTGTGGCTATAGGTAGTTGCTGGACTCGAAGTCCCATCAGCCCTTGCCAGAGGGCCAATAGTCAGGGATGATGGGAGTTGAAGTCTGGTGACAGAGGGATCCAACTGCCTCCATTGCTACTTCATAAGGTGCTGCAAGACTTCCCCCAGTACAGTGGTAAGAGATCTGCATGGCAGTGCAGAAGTCCTCTGGCTTCACCCATGGCACCTCTGAGGATCAGGAAGGAATGTAGGAAGCTCCCCAATATTGAGCTGGCTCCATTATTCTACGTAGCTCATAGAATAGAATCATAGAATCATAGAGTTGGAATAGACCACAAGGGCCATCGAGTCCAACCCCCTGCCAAGCAGGAAACACCATCAGAGCACTCCTGACATATGGTTGTCAAGCCTCTGCTTAAAGACCTCCAAAGAAGGAGACTCCACCACACTCCTTGGCAGCAAATTCCACTGTCAAACAGCTCTTACTGTCAGGAAGTTCTTCCTAATGTTTAGGTGGAATCTTCTTTCTTGTAGTTTGGATCCATTGCTCCGTGTCCGCTTCTCTGGAGCAGCAGAAAACAACCTTTCTCCCTCCTCTATGTGACATCCTTTTATATATTTGAACATGGCTATCATATCACCCCTTAACCTCCTCTTCTCCAGGCTAAACATGCCCAGCTCCCTTAGCCGTTCCTCATAAGGCATCGTTTCCAGGCCTTTGACCATTTTGGTTGCCCTCCTCTGGACACGTTCCAGTTTGTCAGTGTCCTTCTTGAACTGTGGTGCCCAGAACTGGACACAGTACTCCAGGTGAGGTCTGACCAGAGCAGAATACAGTGGCACTGTTACTTCCCTTGATCTAGATGCTATACTCCTATTGATGCAGCCCAGAATTGCATTGGCTTTTTTAGCTGCCGCGTCACACTGTTGGCTCATGTCAAGTTTGTGGTCAACCAAGACTCCTAGATCCTTTTCACATGTACTGCTCTCAAGCCAGGTGTCCCCCATCTTGTATTTGTGCCTCTCATTTTTTTTGCCCAAGTGCAATACTTTACATTTCTCCCTGCTCAGTATAGCCTCCCCAGGGTTCAGGCTACTTGGAGATGCCAGAATGAATTACAAAGAAAGGCTGCGGCGTTCGGGACTTTCCAGTTAAGAGAAAAGCTGAGTAATTTTAGAAGTTTGGGAAATTACGCATGGCTTGGGATAGCTCCGTTGGTAGTGCATGACACTGTTAATCTCAGGGGTTGAGGGTTCAAGCCCCACATTGGGAAAAGGATTCCTGAATTGCAGAGAGGTGAACTATAGATGACCCTCCTGCTCCCTTCCAACTCTACGATTCCAAGTGGATGGAGAAAAGATTTTCTTTCTCTCTCACAACACTAAAACTTGTAGACATCCAGTAAATGTTGGGAGATTGAGGACAATGGCAAACCTAGACAGCATCTTAAAAAGCAGAGACATCACCTTGCCGACAAAGGTCCATATAGTTAAAGCCATGGTTTTCCCAGTACAGTGGTACTTACATACGCTTCAGGTTACATACGCTTCAGGTTACAGACTCTGCTAACCCAGAAATAGTACCTCGGGTTAAGAATTTTGCTTCAGGATGAGAACAGAAATCGTGCTCCGGCAGCATGGCGGCAGCTGGAGGCCCCGTTAGCTAAAGTGGTGTTTCAGGTTAAGAACAGTTTCAGGTTAAGAATGGACCTCCGGAACGAATTAAGTACTTCACCCGAGGTACCACTGTAGTGATGTATGGAAGTGAGAGCTGACAGCCAAAGAATTGATGCTTTTGAATTATGGTGCTGGAGGAGACTCTTGAGAGTCCCATGGACTGCAAGAAGATCAAACCTATCCATTCTGCAGGAAATCAGCCCTGAGTGCTCACTGGAAGGACAGATCCTGAAGCTGAGGCTCCAAGACTTTGGCCCCCTCATGAGAAGAGAAGACTCCATGGAAAAGACCCTGATGCTGGGCACAAAGAGAAGGGGACGACAGAGGACAAGATGGTTGGACAATGTTCTTGAAGCTACCAGCATGAGTTTGACCAAACTGCGGGAGGCAGTGGAAAACAGGAGTGCCTGGCGTGCTCTGGTCCAGGGGGTCACGAAGAGTCGGATACGACTAAATAACAACAACAAGCCCTTCTTCACAAAGAGCATTGTTAAACTGTGGAACTCCTTCCAGCAGGAAGCAATGGTGGCCACCAACCTGGATGGCTTAAAAGAGGGTTAGACACATTCATGGGAGGAAGGGGCTATCGGTGGCTACTGGCCACGATGGCTATTCTTCTGCTTGGGTTCTGCACAGTCGGCCACTGTGAGAATAGGATGCTGGACTAGATGGACCACTGGCCTGATCCAGCAGGCTTTTCTTAGGCCAGGATTGCACCTTCTGGATTGAATCCTGCATGCAGCGGGCCCTGGAGAAAATGCTGGAGAACTGATTGCAGAGTAGACAATTTTTGCACTCCATGGGCAAAAACCAAGGTTACTAAAGGCAGGTTCCTCTGTGGTTTCTCCTTGCGTGCTTTTTTAAATGGGAGGGCGTTTTATTCCCCACCCCACCCCACCCCCGATGCATGCTCCCATCCCCATTATATTTTAAGAGAGAGTTCCCTGCGCGATGAGGAGACGATGATCTGCGCTGTGGCGAAACAAAGAGCAAAGTCGGTGGGTGGCAACCGCAGCCGAGATGCAGAAAACGAGAATTTTTATTTTTTTAAAAATATGAAAATCAGAGGAACCCTAAGAGGGGCAGCTTGAACTCCTTCGCCCAGACGCCCCAACTCCAGTTCTGCGCCTGGCCACTTTTGCAGCGCCCTTGCTTGCGCCGGCCCCCTTGGATCGCGGCGCACCTGCTGGGGGACCCCCCACCCACCCAACTCCCAGTGCGCGCCCCCCCTAAAAAAAACCACACACCACCACCCAAGCCAGCTCCGTCCTCCTCCCGTCGGGCGCCGATCCCCGGCTGCAGCCGGGGGAGGAATACCGCGAGAGTTGCAAGCGGCTTCCCTCGGCCCGGCTGCGAAGGTAGGGAGAGGGGGGAAAGCGCGCACGGGGGGTGGGCGCATGGTTGTGTGTCTGTGTGCAAGTGTGTGCGGGCGACGTGGTGGCGGCGGCGGCGAGGGGGGGTCTCCGCGCATGAGCCGGCGGCGGCGAGGGCGCTTTGGCCGTGCGCATCGCTGTGCGCGCCCGGGCCCCGCCGGCCGAGCGAGCGAGAGGAGCGCGCTGCCCGCCCGCGCCGAGGTAAGCCCGGAGCCCCCCGCCGATGCCCGGCCCTCGCCTCGCCTCCCTCCGGCCCTTCCCCACCCGGAGAGGGGCTTTTACTCCGCCCGGTGGCCCCGGCTCGGCCTCGCCGGCCGCCTCCCCACGGCTCGCCCGCTTCCTTGCGCCCCGCGGAGCTGGAGAGACCCCGGGCGAGGAGGAGGAGGAGGGCGAGGGGGCCAGCAGCGCCTTCCCCAAACCCCTCTCTCCTTCCCCCCACCCCTCCCTCCTTTTCTTTTCCTCCCATCCCTCTTTCTCTCTCTCTCTCTCTCTCTCTCTCTCCTTCCTTCCTTCCTTCCTCTCTCTCTCTTTCTCCTCCTTCTACATAAAAAGTCGCCATTTTGCTTCATTGCTTTTCCTGGGCTTTTTAATTAATTATTTTGTATGCCTTCCGCCCCCCCTCCTTTCAACACCGCCCCGCGCGCTCGCCCCAAAGAGGGGTGGGGGGGGTGGGAGGCAGATTTCCTTTTCTTCCTTTCGGTCTATTTATATGTCTTTTTCTTCTTTTTCCCCCACCCCCTCCGCACCTTATTTTGCATGCGCGGAGATCAAACGATCGCGGGTGGAGGGCGGCTGTTCCTGTTGGTAGGGGGTTTATTTGTGTGTGTGTATATGTGGATGTTGTTTTTTTCAATTTCTCGGATTCCCCCCCCCTTTGCAACCCTCTCCCTTCCCAAACCCTCCTGCTGCTTCTCGCCCGCTGCAAGATTTTAATTTTTTTTTAAGCAAGCGAAACACCCATCTCTCTCTCTCTTTTGCATTCTCCGCCAGCGCTGCATTTCCTTGATTATTCGAGCTTATTTTTGGGAATTGGGGAAGGGAAAAAAGGGGGGGGGGGGGACCGAGTTTGGAAATGTGGGAAAAAGAGAAAGGAATAGCAGAGGAGGTTCGGAGCTTGGCTGCTTTGGAAAGCTCCCCTTGGAAGTGGATTAGAGTTGGGTGAGCCTGTCTTCTCTCTCGCGCCCCCCCCCCAATTGCAAACTAAGCGGCCTCGCCCCTGGGCAGCGACAGGTGGTGCGACCCCCCCCTTCTCCAACACATATATCGTGCGCTTGGTGTTAGGCACACTTGCCGGACGTGCTGCAGAGCGGAGAGGTGGGTGGGGCCCAGGTGAAGATGCTTGACCTACCTGGTCAGGTCACTTGGAGGTCACGAGGGCAACCAGCTTTTGGGGGCCGCCTGCCCTGCCCAGCCCAGAGGTCAAGGTCAACGGTATCCGAAATTGAGGACCTGAACGCCTTTCTCCTTAATCCGTGTGATCCTGGCTTAAGCGCATGGATGCACAAGCGCTTAGATTGAGAAACTGGCGTTTTTGGGGGAAGAGTTTTGCAACCTGAGCCCTGGATCCCTGGCAGTGATGCTGCAGCGCTGCAGCTCCCCGTCGCAGCACACCTGCTTTCGGGGCTGGGCCAAAAGGCGGCGACCCTCCTGCTGCCCACATGCAGACCTCGTCCTTTGGGACTCCTGGCGCGTCTCAGATGCCGTGCCCCTGGGCCATGCCTTTGCCTCAAGGTGCTTTTGTGTGCCGTGCAGCAGCGAGGCAACTGGAGGGAGATGGAGCGCGCAGCGAACATCGCCGTCTTCTTGGCGGGCTGGTAGGAAGACCAGCGCAGGCTCACCCCGGTCCAACCCCTAGATAGGGCCGGGAAAGGCTCCCTGCCTGAAACCCCATGGGGAGATGCTGCCAGTCAGTGTAGACAGTATTGAGCCGGGTGGACCAATGGTGCGACTCAGTGGAAGGCAAGTTGCTTAATTCGGAAACGTGAGAACTGGGGCAGTTTTAGCCACAGAGCTGAAGCACAGAAGGTATCCTGGTCAGCTCCAGGTCGGAGTGGGAATGCTTCCTGCCTGAACCCCTTGAGGGATGCTGCCAGTCAGTGCTGGGCTAAGTGAGCCAGTTCTCTGCAAGGCAGATTCTGATGTTCCTATGGGGGCTGGAGGCTCTGAAAAAGGAAATAGAGATCTTGGAAGAGGCTGCGGGATTATAAGCCCCGCCTGCACCCAGTCACCCCATTTATTTGGCAGGATATGGGTGCTAACGAAACATTTCTGCTTTCGGTTTTGATCCTTGCAGTACACACCTCCTGCTACTTCTTCCTCAAAACCCACCTTTCCTGCCCAAACCTAAGCATTCTGGAAATTTTATACAAGATGGGACCATCAGCAGCCGCGGGTCACAATAGCTAAGTTGAACCTCCACATTCAAAGGCAGTCTATCTTTCAGTATTAGTTTTTTGGGGGGTGGCATTTTGCTTTTGCATTCTTCTGGTTTCCCTGGGGGCACCTGATGGGCCTGTGTAGGAAACGGGGTGCTCAGTTAGGTAGACTTTTTGGTTCGATCTCGTTGGGCTTGTCTTAATGTGTTAACTGCATTTTCTTTCTTCGCCTTTTGGTATTCTTCTATTTGTAAGCTCCTTGGGGCAGGGACTCCCTCTTCCCGTCTGCTCATATTAACTGTAACGTGCCACATGGATTAATGGCAGAATGTCATCTATATAATCGGGCTGTGTTATCGGAGAAGGCAAGTTTTCAGGGGTATTATCCATCTGGAACAAAGCTTGCCGTCTAAACTTGATGTCTGTGGCGGAATATTTTGCACGTCTTGCAGAAGCAAGGCCTGGAGTCATATGAGGATGCTGTAGTTCAATGATGGTTCGATTTGTTAAGTGCACAGCTGCCTTTGCCCGTCTCAGGGTGGTAGTCAACGAAGTTTTACTCCGAATAGACCCATGGAAATTAATGGACCAAATTCAGCCATGTTCATTCCTTCCAGAGGATCATGCGCTGAGTAAAACTTAGTTGAATACAGTCATACCTTGGCTCCCGAACAAATCGGCTCCTGAATGATCAAAACCTGGGTGTGAGTGTTCTGGTTTTCAAACTATTTTTGGAAGCCGAATGTCCGGCGCGGCTTCCGATTGGCTGTAGGAGCTTCCAATCAGCCAATCAGAAGCTGTGCTTTGGTTTCCGAACGTTTTGGGAGTCGAAGGGACTTCCGGAACGGATTCCGTTTGACTCCCAAGGTACGACTGTACCACCCTAAGAGTCTTGGAGGGTAGGTCACTATTATTTCCCATTTCACAGGGAGAAAAACTGAGGCTGACAAATGTGCAGATGTACCTAAGACTACAGAGTGAGCTCCAATCCCCGGGCAAATTATTCGCTGGGTTCTACTGATTATTTGCTCAGAAAGTTTTTTTAGAAAAGGATAAGTCGGATAGAGAGCCTTGGAATTCCTGGGCATTTGTTCCTCCTTTAGTTCCTTTCAGAAATGATTGATCGGCGGCATTTAGCGTCCTTTAAAATTATCATTACGGTGTTTTCACATTTGCCTTTTTACGCCTGCTGGCAGCGCGGTGTGGGAGGCGATCGTTAATCCTCTGAGAAAGGAACCTTGAAATCATGGGATGCGCACACAGATTTCCCGTTCAACTGATGGAGGGGAATTATACCCGTTTTAAAGCTTATCCGTTTAAAAGTGCTGTGCACGGAATCTGTTCCATTCAAAACAGGTTCTTTTCTTTTTGTCCGTCCCCCCCCCCCCCATTTTAAATGCAAGGTCTGCGGAAGCAAGGAAAAGGAAAAGAGTCCGTTTTTAATTTAATCCAGGCTTTGGTGGGTGGGCGGAGGAATAGAGCTCTCCGTGTCCAAGAAGTTTTGTTGTAAGAAACTCACACACACACACACAAAACCCCCACACCAAGAAAAAACCTCTACGTATCTTGCATAAAATGAAAGGGAAGGGAATTGTAGAAATCAGTAGGAGGCTAGGAAATCATTCTCCTGTCGCACAGACCTATGTTTACTGCAGCAAACAACTTCCTAAACTGTGCTTTGCCTAGTAACCCGTGTGTGTGTGTGTGTGTGTGTGTGTGTGTGTTTAACCCTTTCCTCGCTGTCATTTTCTCCCCTTCAACACGTTCCTTCCAAGCCATCTCTCCCCAAACATCATCACATGTTTGCAAATAAATCTGGTGGGGTTTGTGCAACAATTCAGACAGAGAGATGGTTGGAGGAGTGCAACAGTCAAGGGGAAAGGTTTATATCCCCAGCCCGCCCTCCCTGCTCACTTGCCCAGGGATTCTCCTGTACAAATGCCCCCGTCCTGTAGGCCATCTGCTTCGTGTGGTCAGAAGGTCGAGAGTTCGATTCCCAGCATTTCCAGGCAAGGCTGGCAAACTGCTGTGTAAAATATCCTGGAGATCTGCTGCCAGTCCGTGCCAGTATTACTGAGCCAGATGGATCAAGACAGCTTTCTGTGGTCTTATGTCTTGTATTGCAAACATGGGTTTAGGACATTCTGCTTTAGGAGTGGGGCTGTCGGGAGTTGAGATCTTGTGTGTCGGCAAACTTGGTGCCCTGGACGCCTCTGCTGCCAGGCGGGCCAGTTCCCTGCCTAGGATGGGGCAACTGTAGACCTTGCTGGTGTTGCCACCTTAATGATAGATAGACCTGCATCCTCGTTGAGATGCCGTTACCAGGGCACTTGGGGCAGCCTGCTCCAGACCTCCATAACCTGGAGATTCTCCCAAGCTGAATAATAATGATAATAATATCCTGCCCATGTGGCTGGGTTGCTCCAGCCACTCTGGGCAGGTCCAACACATAAAAACAATATACAGTGGTACCTTGGTTCTCAAACTTAATCCGTTCCAGAAGTCTGTTCCAAAACCGAAGCGTTCCAAAACCAGGGCACGCTTTCCCATAGAAAGTAACGCAAAATGGATTAATCCGTTCCAGACTTTAAAAAACAAACCCTAAAACAGCAATTTAACATGAATTTTATGATCTAACGAGACCATTGATCCAACAAAATGAAAGCAATAAACAATGTACTGCAGTCACACAATCAGTCGCTGAACCGGCTTCCACTCAGTCACAAATACAAAACAAAAAGCCGCAAAAACAAAAAACGCAAAATAAATAGCAAAAACAGACAGACCTTAGCGTAGCACTCAAAACGGAAGTGTGGCACTCAGATT